CAGAGCCTTAATGACAGTCTGAGCAAGGCTCAAAGGAAGTAGGTATTTAGCCAGGTGGATATCTGTGGGGCCTGATATCCTATTCATGCAGAGGGAGCATCTGGTATGAAACCTTTGAAGTAGGAGTTTTGTTGATTATTATGGGTATAATGAGGCCATCATGGTTGGTAGGAGGAGTGAGGGGAGGATGGTAAGAAGTGGCAATACTGGAATAAAGAGATGATCCTGTATTAACACCACTCACAGGTGTCAGGATGAGGTCATTAGGAGTGGACAACTGGGATGGCACAAGAGCCCTGGATGTTGATGGGATGGAAGGTGAAAAGGCAGAGGGCAGACAACATGGTGATGGTGGCTACTTGAATTTGAGCAGATAGTTCTTGGGATTGAGTGTGTGGGCCCTGAGGGTATCAGATGGTGGAGTTTGGGGACAAGTGTTGGAAAGGAAGGCAGTTACCAGATCAGTAAAGGCTTTGTGTGCTGTGTTATGGAGTTTGGATGCAGAGTAGGGGGAATCCTAAACAGAGCCATGCTGGGAATGCTCATGTTGGCAGTTGTGAATGGATGGATGGGAGGTGACCAAGAAGGAGGCATGGAGTGCAGTTATGATGTGGAGAGAATGAGTGCCTGACTGAGTAGATTTGTGGGCACAGAGTTTGGAACGGGAGGAGAAGAGTTCAGAGACTTCCAGGAATTTATTTGAACCATTTGTTGTTTCATGGCAGGACTATTGATAATTATGTGTCAGTTCTACTGCTGTGATAATTCCGTGTAACAAACAGCCACAATCTCAGGTGCATTTGGCAATAAAAATGTATTTAATTCAGGCACTAAGTGAGTTCAACTCATTGGGGCTGAACTTGGCTTATCTCACCTGGATTTACTCACATCTTTGGTCATATTTCAGAAACATAATTACAACTAGAATGTCCCTTCCATGCTAGGATAAAACACTTTTATTACTGAATAAGCATCAAACTAGAGTGTGATATATAGTATGGTGATCTGTGAATGGATTACACAACCAGAAAAATAATTTCATCATTCTCTTTAGAGCCAATCATATATAATCTCCTGTATATTTGTTTTCAAGTTGAACAATGAGTAATCCTCAACTAAGACGGCTCAAAGCACTGTTGTTCAATATAACTCATCCTAAATTTACCTGGTAGTTTGGGAGACCATCTGTGTCATCTAATAGGCTTTATCTGGAAGAAAAATAAACTCTTCCAGCTTTATGACAGGAAGCAGTTTTACAACTTGTAGCAAGATACCCATATATGTTAGGCTCCTACCTTTCCACAAAAAGGGGGCAAAGTGTTGCTATCTTCCCTGATGGTTACATTTCAAAGAAATGGTTCCCAGGTCCTTGAGAAAGGCATTTCTGAGCCACAAAGCTGGCAGAAAACCTAACCAATATATAAACATTTCAAAAGAGGAGAAAATACCTATTTGTAATTGACATTTCCTAAAGCAAATGGTATAAGAAAAAAGAATAAAATCTTTTATTCAACAGGGAGAATTAAGCTTTTTCTTGTAATTTTTATTTGTTCTTAGGTCAGCTGAAAAGTTCACCAGGTGCATCTTGATTGGGTATGCTCATGTTTTAGGTGGTCATTTGGCTGAACTGTAGCAGGTTGACCAGGCAATGTCACAGGAGTCCATTCTCCACTGGGTAGCCCAGGATTGTCCTCCTGTGGAAATGGCAGAGGGTAAAACCAAGGGGCAAGTGCTTTTCAAACCTCTGCACTAGTCACATTAGCTAATTTCTTATTGCCTAAATCAAATCCCATGCCTGGGCCCAGAGGCAAAAGATAAAAGCTGTAAAAAGTGTGTGGAAGTGGGAGAACTAGGTATAAAGAAGGGTGAGGAATTAGGGAGATTTTAATTTTTGTTTTATCACAAGTGGTACAAATTTATGAATTCAGTTTGGAGTTTGGAGTTTGAGGTGTATGTGAGGAAAGTGGGTAAAGATAACTCATGGGAACATGGGTGTAGGAGAAGAGAATTCAGGAGACAAGGTGGTCACTTAATATCATTTTGGACATGATATACAGAGAGGCAGATGTCTCAGGAGAGTGTGTGAGGTGAGAAGAGTGAGATTCAAGGAGGGAGTCCTGGGACCAAATTCTTCCTGTTTGCCTTGGCCTCACAGTTGGGGAGAAGAGCCCACTGCCCTGTGGGGGTCCCTGTGCTCCTTCCTTTCCTTCCCTCTTCCCATAGAATTCCCAGAATTCAACATGAATCCTTCCCTCTGAAATTTTGTGATATCTAGGCAACTCTGGGGTCTCAGGGCCCAAGGTGGCCTCCTGGGGCTCCACAGCTTCCTTCCCACAGGGATGGGCTCTGACCCCCAAGTGCACATAGAAGGGCCAGAAGAGGATGGAGTGCGTGTGGTGTGCAAAGCCTCAGGATGGTTCCCAAAGCCTCAGGTGCAGTGGAGAGACCTCAGTGGAAACAAGTTCCCAGCACTTTCTGAGGCCCACAGCCAAGACACTGAGGAGCTGTTCAGTGTGGAGGCCACTCTGGTGGTGAGAGACAGTTCTGTGGGGAATGTGACCTGCTCTGTCCTCAACCCTGTCCTGGGCCAGGAGAAGGCCATGGCTATTTACATCCCAGGTCAGTGCTGCTTCCCACTCCCAGCAGAGCTGTGGGGAGGGGCTGGCCTCTCTGAGTGTGCTGGCTCTCCTGGGTGTGCCCCTGACCTCTGTCTGCCTGGCCACAGAGCCCTTCTTCCCTCAGGCTTCTCCCTGGAAGCCAGCATTTGCTGTGGTCCTGACCATGCTGGGGCTCCTACTCTTAGGGGCTTGCTATTTTATCAGAAAAGAACATTCCAGAAGCAGGCAGGAAAAGGAGCATCTGCGGCGCCTTAAGGAGGAGGAACAGCAGGCAAAGGAAGAGGCACTGAAGGCCATTGGTAAGACCCCACAGGGCAAGTGCAGACCTGGTGGTGAGTGGGACAGCTGACAGGGACCAGAGTCTGGGGTCCAGCTCTCCAGGGAGACCCATGGTCCTGGGCCCAGAGGAGGTGACTGAGTAGATCAGAGTGGAGAGCTAGAGACTGGTGGGGTTGGGTGGGTTTGTAGTTAGAAATTCTAGTGAACAGAAACATTATTCCTAGGTTTTTCCAGGCACAGTCTTTTCTTTTCTTGGGGATGGGTGTTCATACTTTTTTCCATTTTTTTTTTTTAGATGAACTCATGGCAGACCTCCGTAAGTTCTTCTTTCCTTTCTGAATTTTCTGTTTCCTTGGTAGCACATGTTCTAGTTCCAAGCTCCCTTCTTTCTTGTTGTTTTTCAGATCAGAGAAAAGAAGCTTATCTGTCTGGTAAGTGACTCTGCAGGTAATCCTTGTTTCCTTATCTTACCTGTGTCCTGGTGTCCCCTGTACTTGTTTCTGTCTAGGCACAGACATGTGGGACCCCATCCCTGGGAAGCTAGTGGAAGCCAGAACACTGGTCCGTGGACTTTCTTTGACCTTGGCTGCTATTTCCTTCCTAGTGCTTGGAAACCTGGGTGTGATGGTGACCCATGGTTTGTCATGTATTCTGCATCTTATTTCAACCCTGGATTGCCCATTATTTTGTGTTGTTTTTCCTTCAATGCATCTACCTATTGGACTCCACCTAATAGATGAAAGGCATATAGTATGATTTTATTAAATGATCTATATAAGTAAATGGTGTCATTAAGTTTAGAAGTGTGACCTTCTGTTTGTGTCCCTACAAATTGCCAGTGAGGGATTATGTTTTCTCTAGCTCCTGAAGGTGCTAATTCAATGGGGCTGCTCATTACAGGTGGAAATGTGGTAGAGTGAACCAAGTATTTCCTAAAAACTGGTTCTTATTGTCTAGAAATATTTCCAAAGTGAAAAATTGGGAAGTTTTATCACAGAACTCATTGCTGTCTCTAAATCATTCTTCATATTTGGTAATCTCCCAAGTGTCTTTTCAAATTTAAATTTTATTTTTTTCATTTTTTGTTGCTGAGGCATGCACCTGGAACCTTATGCATGCTTGACAAGCCCTCTACCACGGTGTACATCCCCACCCCTTTTCAAATATATCTTTGCCAGAAAAAGCCTGGATATAATAATAATACCCCTGACAATTGCAGAGTGAATTATATTTTATTTTCTCAAATATTTTTACACATAGCATAATTTTTATCCTTAGTGGCAAAACTGAATAAAGACAAATAGAATATGGACTTTTATGAGTTTTGAGGCAGATGGTTTTCTGACAGATAGAAATCAGTGGGGCAATGGCATCAATTGGCCTGTAAAGCAGCCATCTTGATCTGTGGTCCAGGGGATTTCCCCCAACTCCCTGTGGACCCTGCATACTGCAAGAGGCCATCTCTTTCTGACTCTCTCCTCCTGTGGGTAGTCTCATCTTTAGAATGGAGGGAAGACCAGGGGAGGTACATTCATGCTGAGCAGGCTTGTTTTAGCTGTGGTCTCACCACTGTGTGTTCCCTTTCAGCCTGGAGGAAGGCCCTCCTGTATGCAGGTAAGTGACTCTGATGTTTCCTTGGCCTTCCCTCCTCCTGGCTCCTGCTCTGGCCTTCTGTATCAGTGTCCTCCACCCAGGATGGGATGAGTTTCCTGCTCTCTCTTCTTTAATTTGTTTCCTACCCCTCCCAGTTAACACTTTTAACTTCTCTTCTTTTTTTTTTCTTTCATAATCATCACATGTTAATCTGCCCCCTGCCCAAACTAACCAAAGCCAAGTACAATACGAAAGCAACATTCTCCTAAATGGAGAGAAAAATGATTGTAACTTTCATTGGAAGACCACAGAGACTCCTTCTGTTTGGATCAAAGAAGTCACCTCATATTCCTATCTTTTAAACACTCTTCAGTTTTTTGAACATTTTTTAGTTGTAGATGGACACAATACCTTTATTTTATTTTTATGTGGTGCTGAGGAACAAACCCAGTGCCTCATGCATGGTAGGCAAGCACTCTACTTCTGAGCCACAACCTCAGCCCTAAATTATTCTTCATTTTTGGTAATTTCCCAAATGTCTTTTTTAATTTTGATTTCAGCTTTTCAATCGCATTTAACTGTTGGTACAGTGACACTGGAGAGTTCAGTTGTGAGCAGAGCCTTGATGGAACAGGGTTGGAACTGGGGATAGAAATTGCTGGTCTCCAAAAAACTTCAGAAATCATATTTGACACTTTAGGATTTTCATCTTCCTAATGTGGGGCCTTGGTTCTCTATTCCCTTTACCCCAAATTCCTATTGTTTGGGTCCAGGTTTGGTTTTATTGTTTTTTTTTTCCTGGTCCTCTGGATATTGATCTTCTCTCAGCCACCTTCTACTCTGACTCGCTGTCCCAGCTGGGTTTCTTCCAAGCACCTTGGTTTCTGAGATATGAGTTTCTGTTGTTCTGAATTTTGGGTCCAGCATGTTTAGAGGATCTGTGAAACATCCGAAATTAAATTCAAAGTCTGCATTTGTATAAAAGGAACACAATGCAATTTATGATGTTCACTATAATTTTCTTTGCTTTTAAGAAATTTTTTATTTGTGTTTTGGTCTTTGATTTTTTTTAACCGTGTGAACATCATAAAAAGAGAAACCTGGAGAGTTTAGTATTGTTTACCTGAGAAAGGGTTGGAACAAATCAGAAAAGAAAGGATGAGGTAGGAGGAGAGAGGAGGTGAGAAAGAAAGTGGAGTGCCCAAGATTCACATAGACATTTTGGGTGTGCTGAAGCAGTGAGAGATGGAAAATCCCATCCAAGGTGGTTAGAGTTGAGTGTGAAGAGGATTTGTGGTTTTATTATGTGCCTGAAATATAACCAACTCCTTGATATATCTTTGAGAGTTTTCAGTGAATACATTTTGTGTGTGTGTGTTGTCTGTGTGTGTGTGTGTGTGTGTGTGTGTGTGAATTCCATTAAGCCATTTCTAAGTAATCATCTCATTGAATTTGTGATAATGAGAACACCTCCACCTTCCAGTAGCAGTTAAGACAGGCATATGCTAAGGTAGTTTCTAATGCAATGAAAGATAATCCAGAGGACTCTTTAACTCTGGGGGTGAGTTTAGGACCTGTGCCATCTGAATTTGTATAATATGCCCATTTCCTGCTCTAGATGTTTCTTTTTGGCATCAGGGATATAGACTGTGAGAGACAGAGAAGAATGAGTCATGACATCAAGGAGGCTTTGGATTTAAATATCTGAGGAACACTCTTTGAGAATCTTAATGATTTTCCTGAGGACATGTTTATTAAAAAAGAAGGATCACATAGGCTTTTTTTAACCATCTCCCCATTTTCTGCTGAATTAATGTCTATAAATTTTCATGTAACACTTGCATACTCTTTTATTTTGTAAGGATAAACACCATTGCTATACTAGAATCAACACTGTCATATTGACAGGTGCATAGTGTGAGGTGAACAAATCTCTATTTCATCTTGTTCATGAAATTGTAACAATGAGTTATAAATTAAAATTTTCTGTGGGAATTATATGAAGGCTGCATTAAGGTGCATAGCATGGTACTTGACACACTGGAGAGTCTCAAAAAGTTTTCTCTTTCAGTCCTTCTCCTTTTCTCCCTCGTCTGCTTCCTTTTCCTCTCTTTTATATTTCTTTGATAATCTCAGTTAGTTATTATATAGAAAATTATAATTGAATTTTAACTAATGTCTTAGTAAAAAATGAGCAAAGTTTACTTTTCTCCAAGGGTCATCTGGGTCTGCTCAGACATTTTATATGATCTAGTTTCTATCAAGCAACTCAACAAAGATTGAAATACCCATGTAGGTGATTGAACATATATTAGTGGAAATGGGGAGAACAAATTTAAACAAAAATCTTTAAGAAATAAAAATGTTGTTTAGTTATTATGTTAATCATTCTAATCTTGTTCCTAAGGCTCTGCCATGATGGAGGCAAAAGCTTTCCAGTTGAAGACATTTTGGAGTGTATGACATATGTAGACTTTGCTTTGGTTAACTACCTTCCTGACCTCTTCCCAAAAGAGAGTATGGTGGTTTTAGGAGACTTATGTGGCCTTGGGACGGTGGGGGAAGAGGGACAATGTGTTTTCTCTTAGTTATTTCAGGTCCTCTCCATCAGGAGGCTAGTCTGAACTGGTTCATAATACTCTTGGGTTGGTGTCTCCTGAGAAAAGGCAGTTCTCATCTCATTGCTTGGTCCCCCTTCCCTTGACCCTTTGGTAAAGTCCAAGGTCGGTGTCACTGATTCTTGGTTGCCACTTGAGTTTTTCCTCTGATCTTTAGAGCTTTTCTGTTTCACTGGCTCTCTGGTCCCCTGTCTTTTCACCATCTAGCAGAGAATGTGAGATTTTCCTGGTACTCCTCTTCCTAAGTGCAGGAGACAGGGAGGTTCATGGTTTCTGTAAGCACATTTCTCTGCCAGTGCTTTTTTCCACTTGGGGTGTGTCATCTATGTGGGCATATTAGTTTTCTGTTTGCTTCCAAGTTACTGCAAAATTAGTAGCTTGAGTCTGGGGTTGTGGCTCAGTGGTAGAGTGCTTGCCTAGCATGTGTGAGGCTCTGGGTTTGATTCTCAGCACCACATAAAAAAATGAAGGTATTGACAACTACAACTAAAAAATAAATATTAAGAACAGTTAGTAGCTTAAACCAACACAAATATATTATCTTACGTGTTTTTGGGCCGGAGTTCCAGGAGGTTTTGGCCAGGGTTTTTTTCTTTTGTGGGGGTTGTTTTTTTTTGCGTTTTTTGGGGGCCTTTTTTTTTCCTTCTTTTGGGTCCTGTTCTTCCATCTTCAAAGCCAGCAGCACAGCATGGTTTTGACCTTGTTTCTGTGATTCTATCTGCTTCTCTGATACAGCCAATAAAGGTCTCTCTCTATTCACAAGGGTTCATGAGATTAGTTTGGACTGGCCCAGAGAATCCAGAATAATCTCCCCTGCTCAAGAACTTGAATCTTAGTCACATTTTTAAAGTGGCCTAGTCATGGATTTCACACATTCACACACTCTGGAGTTTAGGGTTATGGGTTCTATCATAGCTGGAAGTTTTGAAACTCTTCAGGCAATTCTTTTGGGAAGCAAATGAGTAGGTCCAATATTTTTGGGTTCTCCCATATATGTAAGGATGTTTTTCTCTTATTGGTATTTACAAAGTGGAAGAAAAGTCACTAGTATTGATCTCTCACTGGATATATTTGTTTCCTGCTTTGAACTTCTTTCTCTCCCATCTTAAAACCCTGTCCATTGCAACCTAACTGGGTAAGATTTCTCTGAGTTCCCTGCATTCATGATTTATTGTCATCCTGCAAGTTCAGCTAAGCTAGATGTAATTCTCTACTCATGGCTTAGAGGTAACCATACAAGTTCAGCACAGTCAGTTCTTTATAAGTAAATGGAGGTCTTTGAAATTTTATAACCTTAATTGTATCTCAAGATAACCCAGTTTTCAGGATTGTTGTGTGTCTTTGTCTTGAGAAAGCATTATTTGGTAGCTAAATCTGAACAGTATGTGTGTAAGAAAAAAATACAGCAGCTGAATGTTTTCAAACATATTTTTCCCTTCTTCCTCACACATTGCTGTGTTTCAGATGACTGGGTGCCTACCCTGATGTGTATGGACTCTGCAAATCCCTGACATGAGATGTGTGTTCTTTCGTAGATTGGCGGAAGGAACGGTTCCAAGCCTGTGAGTGACTGTGTGCTTCTAGATGTTCCTCCTGTTGCCCTCATGGCTTCTGGCTTCTCCTTAAGTTCTTTGTGGTGATTCAGATGCTGGCATCACCCATGGTGTTGCTGTGGCAGAAGTGATGGTCACAACACTGGTACTGGTTTTCAAGGGACCTGTCAGAATTCTACACTCGAAATTAGCCTCTGGCTTCTTTCTCCTGGTTGAGGATGTGGGCTTGAGTTAGAAGACTCATATCTCAGGAGGCTTATCCCCTCCTCAGCTCAGGCAGCTATATGACTGTGAGGTGGTGGGTGGCTCTGTGCTTTGTTTTGGGGTGGGAAAGGACCTTGAATGACTGAAAATTCTCTCAACAGGGCCTGTCACACTGGATCCAGACTCTGCTCACCACAGGCTTTCTGTTTGTCATGAAAAGATGCATCTGACCTTGAAGGACCCCTGTGTGTACCATGATGAAAAATGCAGTGTGTTGGGTCTTGAGGGCATCACATCAGGAAGATGGTACTGGGAAGTGGAGATAGAGAATAAATTACACAGCAAGTGGACTCTGGGAGTCTGTAGGAAAGATGTGACGAGAAAATACAACTACCTCGAATCATCACAAAGGGGATTTTGGGTCATGGGGAAAGTTAACAAGAGTTATTTTGCCCTAACTCATCCTGAGACTTGGTTATCTTCTATGCAGAATCTTTTCAGGGTAGGGGTTTTCCTGGACTACAGTGAAGAGGAGGTCTCCTTCTATAACATGATTGATGGGTCCCACATTTTCTCTTTCCCTCCAGCCTCCTTCTCTGGAGCTCTGTTTCCATACTTCATGTTTATGTATGGAGCTGTGTCCATGACCATCTGCTCCATGGAAAGTGGGTCTGAGGGGCTCCCTGTACCCCTTAACAATTTTTCTCCTCCGGAGGGAACCCTGAGCACCCCAATGGAGGGGTTCAGCTCAGGTTGTGGTGTTGATGGAGCTCCCCCAGAGGCTGAATCTCTGTTACTTCCCTGACACTCCCAGGTTTTGTCCACGTAGGGTCCCTTGCTGTCTGTGATCCCTCACTGTGGCTCTTCTGGGGCTATAGACTCCCTGTGTCAAAAGCCTGTGATATGAGACTTGGACTGTACAGTGAGCTTGTCTTCTGCTCTGTGTTAAGACTTCAGATGTGTGGTTATGAGAGTTCAGTTCATATCTTATATTCAGATAGCAGAAGATAAAATTTGGCTCTATTTTAACTGGTTCAGAGAATGTTCAATTTAACTGAGGAGCCCTATTTTTTGGTATTAGTAAGTATTTCAAGCAGCCATAGCAGCACATACCTATAGTCCCATCTACTGGGAAGGCTAAGGCACGTGGATCAATTTATCCCACATGTTTGAGACCAGCCTGGCCAACATAATGATACTCTGTTTCCAGAAACAAAACAAAGCAAAATAAAAATACAAACAAAGGAGAGATTACATTACTGCACCTGCATATGTGTAGAGGAAACTTGAGGTTGAGCGTGGTCCTCAGTTTTATTTATTTTTTTAAAATTTTTATTGTTGGTGCATATTTGGACTATCAGATGACAGTTTAGTATCCAAAAATTTCCAGTGAAATGGAGAGGTGTGTTATTCATTTTTTTTTGTCTCTGTGACAAAATACAGAGAAAATCAACCTAAAGGAGGAGAGATTTATTTTCCTCACAGTTTTAGAGGTTTCAGCCCATAGTCACCTGGCTGCATTGTTTCTGAGGTAGAATGTATGGGAGCAGGTGGTGGAGTGAGTGGTTCACCTTATGGCAGACAGAAGGCAAGAGAGGGAGAGAGAGAGAAAGTGAGGGGGAGAGAGGGGAGGGAAGGAGAAGGAGAGGAGAAAGAATGAGAGAGAGGA